GCTAAGGCTCCATTGTGGGTAAGAGCCCGTCCTGCATCCTCCTGAACTGCCTTCAACCCATTGCCAAGGAGATCATTCCAGAAACCCAGTGACCATCCTGGGACACTGCGGACATGGTTTACATTGCCAGGAGGATGCAAGAAAAATGTTGGGAGCAAAATCAAGAACTGTTCCTTGCCTACATTGATGTGACCAAGGCATTTGATTCCTTAAATCGTGAAGCTCTGTGGACCATCCTCCAATGCCTTGGCTGCCCGTTGAGGTTTGTCACCATGTGGAGGTTCCTGCATGATGATATGACCGCCACCGTCCTGAGTGAAAAATCTGAAACTGACAACTTCTGCATCCAGACCAGGGTCAAACAAGGTTGCCTTATCACCCCCATCCTGTTCACCATCTACCTGACCACCATCATCCACCTCATCTGAGATGGTCTACCATCCAGCATCAGTATCCAGTATCAACCGGATGGGAAGCTTTTCAATCTTGGGCACTTCTGGCCAAAAACGAAACTCACTGCAAAGGACATCCATGACCTTCAGTTTGTGGACAATTGCTACATGATGGCTCACTGCACAGGATGTGGAAGCAACCCTAGATCTCTTCAATGTTTTGTATAAGAGACTTGGCCCGTCCTTGAATGTCACCAAGATGAAGGTTCTTCACCAACCCTCCCCAGGCCAGATGAACATCTCTCACACCATCTACGTAGATGGGGAGGCTCTGGAGTACACGGAGCATTTTCTGTATCTCGGCAGCCACCTCTCTCAATGGGATACCATTGATGAAGAAGTCCAGTACTGGGTCAACTGCACCAGTGCTACCTTCTTCAAGCTGCAACATCATGTCTTTGAAAATAGAAATCTTCAGAAGTTGACAAAGGTCCTGGTTTATAAAGCTGTTGTGCTGACCATCCTCCTCTACTGCAGTGAAGCCTGGACTGTCTACCAACACCACATTAAGACCTTTGAGAGGTTTCACCAATGGTGCTTGTGCTGAATCCTGGGGATCAAATGGGAGGAACCAGCATGAGCACCCTCCATGAAGCTACATTCACCAGCATCAAAGCCTTGCTTTTGAGAAATCAACTCTGATGGATGGGCCACTGCGTCTGGATGTCCGAGAACCGCCTCCTCACCAGATTCTCTTCTCCCAGCTCTCTGTTGGCCAAAGGCTCAAAGGGTGGCCAAAGGAAACAGTACAAAGACACACTCAAGGTCACCCTCAAGCGTGGAGACATTGATACTAATGGCTGGGAGGAACAAGCTGCTGACCGTTCAGCATGGCACCACCTGATCCACTAAGGTGCATGCCACTTTGAGGCCCAACAACTCGATACTGAGGTGGAATGGCGGCAGCAGGGGAAGGAGAAGGAGACCAACCTGGGGCTGCAAATCCCACTCCCCCATGCAGCATGCCCCCATTGCTGAAGAACACGTGCATCCAGAATCGTGCTCCTCAGACACCTGAGGACTTATGTCATCCTCGACTTCGAGGGACTGCCACTGCTGCCTACTGTAGCTCTTATGCTTGTAAGATAAGGCTGCTGGCCTGTTCCATTTTTGTTCAAGAAACCCCAAATCAAGGAAAATAATTTGTATATTTCATTTAAGAAAGCTATTTTGAGTTATGGGAATATTACAAATGCTATCCAAAGTTATATGGAGCCTTTTTTAATGTGGTAGGTGCCTGCAAACCTGCTGCAGGGTTTCTGCAGATTCCCTGCAAGGACTAGGAGGATTTTTTTCCTCTCATGAATGGTTTATTGGCTTCTGTTCCTGTTCTCCCCTTTCCCTGAACATTATTCTGCAGCACTAGACACTGGGGGCTTTGACTGGGGAGCACCACTGCTCTTTTTGGTACCTGTAAACCTTTCAAGTACCTTGCTAAAGGGCTTTGTTTTCCTCCTCAGAATCTAAATGCTTGCCAAATTTAGGATCAGGAAGGAATCTGTACTCAACAGATTGACAAGGAAGTGCAAGGGGAAGGCAGCAAGGCAGAAATGTTGCTTTCTTCTGTAATGTGGAGCACAGACCTTTACCTAGGATCTTCTGAACGTATGTTATTAACATAATACTTTTTTGCCACTGCAGTGGCAGGGCACTGGTAGAGCCCTTGTCTCTTCTGAGTGTTTACCTGTAGTATGTGGTAAGGTATCTCAGTGTTTCTAACTTTGTGTCTTGTGATTGTGGTGTGTCAAAATTGGAAGTGGATGATCTTCAGGAACCTTGGAGCAAATGGTTGCCTGTGAACACAGAGGACTAGAATAAAATACCTGAGACACCCCTTCCAGTCTTATGGTCTTACTACTGCACTATTTAACATACACCCATGCTCTCCATGAAACAATTATTATCCTCGCTCTTTCTCCTTCTTGCCTACCCTTTTAGTAATATAGTAAAAATGGAGTAAAATAATATAGCACATGAACAAAGAGTTTTTAAACTAAGTTAGAAACCTCTGAAAATAGAAGTTCATCAGAGATATCACCTCTGATAGACTTTGAGCTAAAGAAATGCAATTGATATCATATATAAATATATGAGATTTTATGGACTGGAGAGAGGCCCACAGATCACATATTTCATTCAATATATAATATTTACAAAGTACTTATATATATATTTCATGAAAAGTAATTTCACATAAAATTTTGCCCTTTAATCTTCATCTGAGATATGTTTAGACATTTTGGACTCTATACATTATAGGTCTTGTGCAATTAACTGCTTAATTTTGCAGATATCTAGAGAGCAGTTACACATACAAAGTAGCTATCATGTCAAAAAAAGCTTCAACCAGATATAAAGTTAGACCTCAAAAACATGTACTAACTTTATAGCTGGTTGCTATCAAGCTTTAATTTGCACATGTAGCAGGGTCTCCCCAGTGGTTGGGAGCCCATCCGCTGATTCTCAGTGTAAAACCCCTGAGCTCTAGGAATCACAGCAGCCATAATCCCCAGAGTCCAGGGGTGTGGGAAACACCTGGACCCTGGGGATCATGGCTGCCATGATCCCTAGGGCTCAGGAATGCATGAAATCCCTGGGGCAAGGATCCTGGCTGCCATAATCCTTAGGGCTTGGGGTGTGTGAAACCATTGGGGCCAAAGGATCCCTGCAGTGGCAGGGAGATCATCACAGTGGGGATCCTCCATCCTCAGGGACACATGGGGTGCCTCTGCAACTGGGAGCTCCTTAACTGAGGGGGGCTCCCAGCTATGGGAGCTTGCTTCTTGCTGGTACAGGGCTAGCCTGGGATCAGGCTCCATGAGAGCGAATGCAGGATACCATAATTGCGCCTCCTCCCATGCAATGGGCAAGACACCAAAATCTATGTAGTAATTTAACATCAGTCACATAGTTTAAAAAAGAGTGAAACACTGCTACAGCTCTGTGAAGAACTAAACCTTGTGAAAAATTACAAAAGGCTTCATTTTGTTTCCTGATAGAAAATGTGAAAATTGTTGACACCTGAAAAAGTTTTACAGGATGGGAAAACTATCTTTCATTTAGAGCAGTAGTTTCCAAACTTTTTGGGTAGGAGATCACTTTTTGAATTAAAAAGCAACCCAAGATCTACCCTATGCTGCTGCTTCCTCCCCCCCGCACCCCGTAGGTCAGTCTGTGGGCAGGGATGGGGGGCATATTGAGGTGGAGGGAGAAAACATTTTGGGGGGGCGCTTCCTCCCCCAGCAGGGGAAGGGGTGGGGGAAGGGGAAAGGGCTGGGGGGGGGCGCAGATCGAGGCCCCAGCTTTGAGGGAGGGAGCAGAGCACAGGCAGGAGCAGGGGCTGGGGGGGGGGGGCCCTGGCTGGACTGGGTGGTGGGACACATGGCCCCCAGGCCTCTGCTTGTCCCCTGCTTCCCCCAGGCCCTGCTCTTACCTGTGCCCTGCTCCCTCCTTCACTGCTGGGGCCTTGATCTGCCCCCCCCATCCCCCCACAGCAGTGAGTGAGGGAGTGGAGCAGGGGCAGGCCCTGCACAGCTGGGGCAGGCATAAGACAGAGCCATGAACAGCTTGTCCGGGGGGCATGGGGGCGGGGGGGAACGCAGTCCAGGAGGGCATGGGAGATCTCAGCCCCCGCAGACTGAGATCGACTGTTAGAGGCTCCATGATTGACTAGTCAACCGGGATCGATCAGTTGATGACCACTGATCTAGAGCCTACCTGATACCTATTTGATGCAGTTCTGAACTTTTGCATGCAATTGATATAAGCTTGATGGACCAAACAAAACCCTGCATCTAAATACTGAACCTGGAGAAAATTTTTTCCAGATCCAATTAAATATTCAAAATATATGGTTAAATTCATTTGTAATAAATCAATTAGGCCACAGTGTTCAAACTGGGCACTTACATTTAGTCTCCTAAATCCATATTTAGATACTTATAGAAAAGTGACCTGATTTTTAGACATGCTGAATACCTACAACTCCCAGTGATTTCCATGAAAGCAGATATCCTAAGGAGACATCTAGTAATGGTTTAGACAACATTTTTTTCACTGTAAAATGATGAGCAAATTGTATTTCCTTAGTCTCCTTTCTTGATGGGAGAAAACATCTATTTTACTGGGAAAAAATTATCTTATTCTAAACTGTTTGGCTTTATATGCAAACCAGCTGAATATCTACCTTTTAGTGAGCATTCACCAAATAATGGTTCTCTGCTTTTCCAAAGCCAGTGGAACTACAATTTTGGATTTGCTTCCATTGCACAAAATGGAATTTCATCTACATGAATATGAATATTCTTTTACAAAGACAAACCTGTCTTGAAAATTTCTAATCATTAAATATTTGTATGGTTAATTGCAGGAAGATTTTTTTTATTGTTGTTGTTTTAGTTCTTAAGCCCTAAAATAGGAGGCAAGTTTTGCTTATCTGCCTCAGCAACCACAGATAATTCCAGGCCTTGTCAAAATATGTGGGCAAAAACTAAATCTTTCATCCAAACAAATGCAGAAACGTTCCACCTCTAAACAACAGCTACTCACATGCAATGCGAACATAGGCTTTTCGGCTTTTGGTAGTGCCCGCAGAGCTCCAAGCAACACATTGGCACCAGTAATCTTCAGGTCCAAAGAGTTCCTCCACCTGCTGACGGGAAATTTCAATGCTGACTTCTCGAACAATCAAACCTGTTGGAATATAATTAATAACCCCAAGTGCGTTAGAGTTGGTGAAGCTATTATTCAAAGCATTTTATAAATGTAATTTATTTATTTTATTATTGTTTTAGTTTATTTTATTTTTATTCTCTTTCTCTGTTTATGTATATAATTCAGCATTTAAAATTGTTATAAAATTTTACTAGCAGCCTCACATCATATGACAATTTATATCAAAGTACAATCTATCTTACAATTTTGAAAATGAAGCATGGTTCCCTTTCACCGTAAGGACTGTATAAGAGTATAAGGCTCCTCTTTTAAAAACTTTTTTTTATGCTCCAAAACACACATTTTGGAATTTGGATGGTATGGAATGTTGATGGGACAGTTCTTGTTCACAGTGTGGTAGTTTCTTTCATTGGAAAAGAACAGCTGTGGTCTACAAATAATGACCTTCAAGATTGCTGTATATTTATTACAAACTGTACTATTTTGGACCATTACTGTGGAGTGCTAGTGTTTCTTTCAGAAGTACCTACAGTACTATATGGTACAGCTCTGTGCTCTAAATTACCCCTAAATATGGCCTGCCACAGACCCTCCATACAATTTTTTAAATGCTCCTCTCACAAATCCACAATGATGATAACACAGTCACCATCATTACAAGACCAGCGATTACCCACTGTTACCCCATGGTGCTATCTGACAGGCAGCACTATTCCCTAATCTACCTACAAGGAAATATTGTGGTATCTCAGATGGCACTGTGATAACTTTTGGTAAGATACTGATTATTTCATAGCAATGATAATAGGTGGTGTTTTGAAAGACCCCCATCCCCAGGCTCAGAACTCACAGCCTCCATGAAAATGCTCTTCATTTTTAAAGGGACAAGTGAGGTAGAGGGGAAATATGCACATACCACTTGTTAAGGCATTTACACTGCATTGTTGATGCCAGTCTCAAAAAACTTGTAGCAAAGGTACATCCACAGAAAATGCTATCACTATTTCAAAAACTCTGTCCAACAAAGAGCCTTAAGTATATAAACCCCACACATAAATACTCTTTGTAGTGTGACTGATTTTTTTTTTCCTTACAGTCATGCCAGGAAACTTAATTAAAAGATACTTAGATTTCAGCATGCACAGTTTGTCCCCATCATGAACACTAATGCTCGGTTCTGAGTCTTTCAACTGAACACAAAATTAAGCACTTTCAAGCCAGCTACTTCTAGCCTCCTGCCACATGGATTACAGGGTGATATTCATAACGTGAATGTTCCCAATTGTACAGCATGAAGTGCCTTGCAAGCTCTGGAAACCAAGCAGGCCCTTTGATTTTGCCTTCAGTTCACAGCGTCTCCATTCAGGAAGCCAACGATTAATTACTGTTTGTGCACAGTTGTATACTGTCATTTATGCTGCATGCTGTTTGCATTCAAAACTTGGTTAACAACATAACGACAAAAAGGAATCGAAGCATGTAATATCAGAGGGATTTCTGGTGAGAACACTTTATAATGAGATGCATTTTCTTGCTAAAGGCTGGATAGCCTATCACCTTTTTGGTTTCATTATGGTTGACATTTTTGCCCATCAAATTATTAGCTACTTTGGAGAAAACACATAATAGCATTTGTCTTTGAAATTAAGTACTCAAACTACATGTACTGTATTCCAAAGTACTAAAATCAAAGGAAAGCATAGATATATGAAAATATAGCAATCGCCAGCTCTTAACTGTGCTCTGCTTTGAGAAGCTAATTTTGTTCCAAAAGTGGTTTCAGGGTTGCTCTTTGTCCTCTGGGAAGTAGGAGGGGAAAACATGCTTATCTGTACAGCCTATGCTCAAGAATGATCATGTTTTTGTACGGCATCTGCTGCTAAACTTCTTCCTTCAGCTCAATCCCATTCTTCGTAGCACTGGCCCTGGGAACCTAACAGTTCGAAGGTTACAGTATTATGTTTTCATAATAAGGCTGATTATAAAATAATTTAATGGAGCAGGAAACTATTTTATTTACTTGAAACCAAGACATGTCCCCCACTTCTGAATTTAACATGGGGAAAAAAGCCCCTTGTCTAGGATTCAAGTATGAGGTGGAGGCGGGGGCAGAGAAGGGTAGGACTCAAGGCTAAAGCCATGGCCACAGCTGTTGCCTGCCCTCCCACTGCCTCTGCCCTCCCCATCCCAAGCTGCCTATTTTTGCTCTGGTTTTGGCTCTGGCTCCACTCAAGCCTGGGGCATGGAGTATGTATTTGCTCTGATCCTAGCTCTCCTGGGAGCAATAAAAGTGGTAGACAGGAGCAAACACATGGTTTTTGCCCAAGGCTGGATCAGGGCTGGAGCCTGCTGGAGCTTGAGCAAGGGTAACCAGCAGGAGGTGGGCCAATGTGGGGGGGGGGGCAAAGGCAAGGGGGTCCCAAGGATGAGGGGGACAGGCACAGGGGTAGCAGGCACAAAGGGGGTGGAGAGGTGGCAGGGGGCAAGGTGTGGAGGGGCAAGGAGCAGACCCCCCACCTTCCCCAACACTGTTCCCTTAAAATCTGCCTCTCTATCCCCTACCACCACCTGTCCCCCACACTGTCTGTTCCAGGGGCGACGCATAGGGAGTGCATGCGGGTGCACGTGCATCCCCTGAGTGTGGTAGTGCATCCTCTACAAAAAGGCACTGTCAACACTAAAAAAAAGGCACCTGCGGTTGGTCACCACTCACTACCCCATTGCCAACACCACCAGTGGCATCTGCAGGCAGTCTGTGATCCCCGCTGGCCACCACCAACGCTGCCCGTGGTGTCTGTGGATGTTCACTGACTCCTGGGCAGTGCTCACCACTCCCCCCACCCCCCCAACAGTCCCCTGCTTACTGCTACCATGCTCCCACTGCCGTCGCCATGCCCCCGCCCCAGCGTCAGGGGGCACACATCATTCATGGCCTGTCCTCTACTGCCTTCCTTCCTACTGGCTCCCCCCCCCCCCCCCCCCCCCCCTTCCCCCCCCGCGGGGGGGGGGTACTGGCTCCCCCACCTTCCTCCACCTTGTTATACCACAGTGGTGGAGGAGTGGGGGGGATGAACTTAAGACATCTCTCTAATAATTGCATACCGTACATGGAATATTATAACAAATTTATAATTTTGTAATATTATAAATTTATATTTTTATAACAAATTATTGGGGGGTATCTTAAATTCATGGTTGTCTTGGTTTCAGGTAAGTATAGTATGGTACTAAAGCAAGAAGATATATAATGAGAGCTCTTTATGATTATGAAACAGACTTTAAATTCTAGGCACAGATGCAGTTTTCTGATTGTCTTTTGAAGATATGAGTATGCCAATAGCATCCACCAGTTGGCCCAGGAAACCTATATCTCTGGGTTCCTAATACATAAGAACATAAGAAGTACTGCAGGTTTTGCCTTGAATGTCAATCTTCATTGCTACGGCACTAATAATAGGTCACACCACATGTCCACCTAGTCCAGCACCTTGTCTCTGACAGTGGCAGGAGAGGATACTTTAGAGGAAGAGCTTTTAATTAGGTATATTTAGAGTGTTCCCTGGCCAGATCCATCATTATTGGTTTAGAGATGCCAGAGGAAACATCTCCAACCATTTGGTCAACAGCTATCAATAAATCTATCACCCATTAATTTACCCATTAATTTTGAACTGGCTAGGCTGTCTGCCTCCACCAACCTCCTATGGCAATAAATTCCACAAGATAACTATACTTTACATTAAAAAGTACTTTCTCTGGTTAGTTTTAAAACTGTGACCTATTAATTTCAGTGGGTTCCCCCTAGTTCTAGTATTCTGGGACTTGGTGAGCAACTGTACCCTGTTCATTTTGTACACACCCATGATGATTTTATAGACTCCCCCCAGGTTTATCCTTTCTATACTAAAAAGTCATAGCGTTTTTTGTCTCTCCTGGTATGGTAACTGCTCCATTCCCCGATCATGTTCTGTACCTTTTCTTATTCTACTATATTCTTCCTGAGATGTGAAGACCAGAACCACTCACAGTATTCAAGATATGGGTGTACAAAAGAACCTTCCTCCCAATCCAGTGGTGACTTAGTTTTCTACTTCAATATGCTTCCTATTTCATAATAACAAGCTGGTCTAAGTTCTGTTTTTCTACAGTATAATGAAATGCTCACAGGTTTCAGGTTTCTTTAAGTCATTTGGCCTTTGGTCTTAGGATAAAAGCAACAAATTGTTCAATAGTCATGTTACAACATACCTTCTGCTCTTGTGCCTTATTGCTTAAAAGCAATATGATTATACATATAGTATCACCATATGGCTATCTTTTTCTCTAGGCTAAACATTTTTTTCCAGAACACACAGTATATCACATCTGTTGCTGCTGGTAAGAGGTCATCTGAGAAAAAAAGATCTATGAGGAAGGTTTAAGATGACAAATATAGACATTTATGAGCCAGATTTTGACACCTTTACATTTGTTGAACAATAACTTACCCTATAAGGAACTGCAGTGATTACGTATGGAAAAAGTGTCATTTAGGATTACTAAGGATAGAAAAAGCTGACCATCCACAGTTCTTCCCTGCACATAAAGGAACCCTACAGAGCTAATTCTGCAATCTCACTTAGGTTCTCTCAGGAGCACCTTATGCACAAGCAGTCCCATTGCTTTAAAAAGATTTTTTCTTCAAGAGAATGGAATGGGCTAATTTTCCTCCAAGTTATAGCAGGTCAAAATCCTACTAGTATTCACTAACACTAAAAATATCCATAATATCATTAGGCATGTCCAGACGAGCCTGCACGTGCCTCTTGCAGCATCTTAAACTCCTTTGAGATGCTGCAAGAGGCACGTGTACAAATGAGAAAGTGTTCCCCGCACTGCAAATTTGTAGTGCAGGGGCAAAATTAGGCCTCTGGATATCCAGGGGTTAAAAAAAACCTGCAGAGAAAAAAAGCAGGGTGAGGCTTGATCCCAGACTGTACCCTGAGGCTGGGTCTTCCACATAGACACTCTGGTAGCAG